CAGTCAGCGACCTCACGGTGAACGCAACACGGAAGAGATTTACCGATAATGTAGTGCGATCTTTGCCTTTGATTTCCATGGGAAAACGGCATGATTTTTTTTTAAATCAAGAAATTATGTGTTTTCGAAAGATAAATTATTCTTCAATGCTCAGTTTAACACTTTTAAGGTGATAAAAGCTCATTGTCTAAAACTTACGAAACACAGACGTATTCAGAAAGAGTATTGACAGAGGTCGCCGCCAGAACAAAAGCAGTTTCATTGCCTGTCTGACATCTTATCACCGCTGAACAATAAATAGGTGTGAATATTTTTAGGCATGTTGTCGAAACAAAGAATAGGATTAGGAACAATGCCGTTTTGGAACAGCTGGTTGAAACAATGAAGTCAGTCACGGTCTTGTTGAATTGGGGGTGCGGTTAGTAATAGGTACTTTTCAAGTTTTTAATTTTTGTTAAGAACTCTTTAACCCCGAAGCCGGAATTGGGGGTGCGGTTACTATTACGTATGCGGTTTATATTAGGACTTTAACGGTATGCTCAGATCACTGTGTTTAGGATGAATAATTAAGTACAGGGATTAATTAATGACATGCAAAGAAAAATTGATTGTATAGGGAATAATTTGTTGGCACATGAATAGTGATTTGATTTTTTTTCTACCTGAAAATCAGTACGCACAATAATACTAATAAACTACAAATAAAGACTTAACATGTGACTGCAGTGTAACAGCCTTATGGTATTGATTGCGTACATTGAACTACACATCAAGTAAGAAGCATTTTGGTTGTTTGTGTTTGTGATTATTTATTGGTAGTGACATAAAGTCTAAATTTGTGTACTGGAGCACATCGATACAGTTTTAAAGTTTTAAAGGTGAGAACTTTGCTATAATGCCCATTATTATTCTAGCAACAATTTCAATTTAACGTACAACTCTTCCTGCAGTGTGTTGAATGTGCACAAAAAAAAGCTAGTTTGATTTTTCAATTTAAGGTGGTGACATTCAGAAAGCAGCTTATATATGTAGTCACATCTGTCTCAAAGGTTATCCAAACTTAGCACCTGGTTAAATCAAATCCTAGTTATACAAGTACAAACATGTCTTTTGACTGACTTTCAGGGCAATCACTTTGTCTGCTGAAGACTGTGAATTTACATAACAGTCTACTTAAAGTTGTTCAAACACTGAGGCCCTAATTATGTCTATCCAATGTAGGCACCATAACCACGTTCTGGCTTTTAAATCTGGGGCTCACAAATATAAGTATACATGCAGGAATAAATCAATGAGAAGCAGCAAAACATGTGTCTGAAAGTACAAATAATCACAAAAAGTTGATATAATTGACAGGTATTCAGAAATATTGTTTTTACAAGGACATTTTTTTTTCATCTGTGAATGTCTAGAAGCAAATCTTTCAATCAGTCTTTCCTAACTTCAATAGTTGCTTAAATGAGAAAATTATTATTATGATATACTTTCATTGAAATGTTAACCCAATTGTTGTCACTTCAAATGCATCTAATTGTATTTAACCTGTCTGTGTGATGTATATGTGTGTTTGTTTGTTTGTTTGTTCCACCACCACATTTCAGTGGAGTAATCTGCAAAGCTGATTAATTTTGGGTTGACATCTTTGTCTAATAATTTACAACTGATAGGTAAAATCTGTATTTCTAAAAGGGCATCAAACTTCTTGGGCATTGCAGCAATTGTTATTGATGCCTCTGCGAAGTTCAATCTCTGGTTTTAACAAATTTGCATAACAATTAGCCAATTTATAGACTTGCATGCAACCATTTACATATATTAAATTTCAATACAATTTGGTAATGAGCCATAATTACTTTTTAGTTGAAATCTTTGAATATTCATTACTTAGTTTGCATAATAATTTTTTAACTGGCTGTTATTTACTTCTTAACTATATTTTCTTAGTATCAAAATATGTTTTCAAGTATCAAACTAATATCAGTCCAGGAAATAATAGTTATTGGAAATTTAGTCAAAGTTAGCACATATTGCCATAAGGTAGAAGCAGGGGAAAAACAAGTTAATAATGGATCAATGATTCTGACATTCTTTATAAGTTGCAAAACATGCTACTAATAACAATTACAGGTTGTATATATATTTAGCTGACAGCTTAGATATAGGTGAATTTGATGGTACATATGCTGTACCAATGTTTGTCTTCTTAACACTGTAAGCTAGATGACCACTGCCATTATTTTTTAGCTGTGACTGAATAACTACAGAAATCCTACCGATAATCTGTTGTTAAACATGTCTGTACTAGTAGTTGTTTGGTCGTAGCTGGACAACAAAGACAAATACAGATAAACTGAGATGTGATCGTCAAGCCTACAGCCTTAGATAAACATTGGTATAGCATATGCACAATTTTTTAATACGTATTAGCCTGTGTTGCGATTAATTTAACTTAAGCGATTAGTGTCATCGTAAAATTGTTAGCTAATTCGCTAATGATACAGCTGTGCCTTGGAACAAGCAATTTGATTATTGGGCATTAGCTAAGTCCTCAGGGAGAGCACACTTAGTTCAATGCATAATGTGGTAACAAAAATGTGGATACTGGAGTAGTGACTGCTTCGCAGTCCAGATGTTATTCGAAATTCATTGTAAAATGAAAAAAAAAAAAAAAACTGATATCAGAGCCCCTTTTGATGGTGTGACCTAAAATCAAATTGCGCTTTCTATTGTGCAGCTGTGTTGGCCAATCAGATGGCAATATTGCTGATTTGGTTCAGTATCCAACATTGCTTCGACATGGTCCCACTCTTTTGCCTCTGGGCTATTGTGACTCGATCACTTGGCGAAAGACTGTGTCTGTCAGTCATACCAAGGTGTGAAGATTAATGTTATTACAAGTAACACCTACCGTACACTCCAATGGAATGAGCCAACAACTGGTTGCCCAGTGTGTTGTTTACTTTCTACTTGTTTTCATTTTGGGTTTACAACCACGACGAGCATATGTCTGACTGACGTATCAATTTAAAAGGCTATGCAATGTGGTCTGTGAGCTCAAATCATCTGTGTAGTTGTTACATTATAGTTAGGAACAAAATTTCCTGATTTTAATCCCAGATTCCCAGAGCAAACAAGCTAAAGTGAACTTGGTGCATGGTTTATCTATAGCTATGTTCACACGGCAGCTTTTTATCGGAGCCGAACTACTGCTCCTCCCACGGATTAACAGGAGATTATCTACAATGCGTTCATACGGTCGGGAGCCGAACGAGAGCCGAGATCTGCCAGAGTTAGATTCAGTTCGATCAGAGCCGAGCGGAACAGTGCCCTTGAATAATTAGTGACTGAAAACGATTTTAGTGTCGTGCTTGTGTTTTTTTCTTTACATGGCATGATGCTGTTGAGCTAGGAGAAAAAGGAGCCTGACCATGGAAGTAGAAAAGACCATGGAACTATTATAGTTCCATGAAAAGACAATGACTGGTATTTTAAATTTGGTACTAGTATCTCGAATAAACAGGAAACACGGCAGCTAAAATACGTTTAATACAGCCTATTCGGTCAAGTTATTGTCATGCAAAATTACCATTTTGTAACTATTCAACTGTGGTGATATCTATTAAAACTCCTAGGAAGAATCACTGATTCTCTCTATCTATCATAGACGGACTATGGAAGAATCTAAACCTACCAGGAACACGTCACCGTACCGCGATCGCTTCTACGATTTTTATCTTTAGTGTCTTTAAAAAGTTTCCGTTCAGTCGTTCTTTCAAGTTTTTGTCGCATGATTTCGTACGCCATTTTTTGTTTCCCATTGAGCTGTCAATCTATCACAATGATTCATTACTATACACTAGGCCGCGTACCTCTTATTCAAGCGGGAAATTGCGTGAAATTATGAAAGATGTTGTCTCCGCCATAATTGAAATGAGAGGTTACTCGAAGAAGACGATTGAGGGCGTTATTTCGGCTCCGATAGTTGGGCCCCGATGCGTTTACACGTTCGGAGCCATGCTGGGACTCAACCCTATCGGAGTTCAACCCCGAGGGTTTAGTGGAGCCGAACTTGGCTCGAGCCGAACGCGTTCACACGGCCATTTTTGCTGGCTCAAGCCGGCTCGAGCCTTTGGGCTCCGATAAAATGCTGTCGTGTGAACGTAGCATATGTAATTGGGCAAGAGCGTTTGTCAACACAACTGTTGGATTTAGCTACTGTGGAATACTTTATTTTCGCTGGAATTAATTTTCGCTGAAAAGGCTTTTTGGGCGTTTTGCTTGGAATTTATTTTCACTGATTTTTGATGAGTTTAATGTGAAATGTAGGAAAAAAAGTACATTCGCTGGATTTTATTTTCACGGAATCACCCCTTCAGCGAAAATAGCGAAAATAAATTCCAAGCGAAAATAAAGTATTCTACAGTATTACTGTCATACTTGACTAGTACATATCAAGTGCTTGAAGAATGGTAACTGAAACAACTATGATTGGCTGGGGACACACAAAACAAAATTACTAGCCCGGAGTTTTGGCTGGTACAATCCGCCGCTGCCAAGATTCTCCAGTCTGTGTTCCTGTATATAATAATACTGTATTTATCTGTCCACCCCACCCCCCACCCCCAATGTTGATGCAATAAAGAAGTTGAGATCATATCCAGACATACGCCCAGGGGATCTTTTCTGGGGATCTTTTCGAGGGCAGCGTGTTCGTCGCTGTTTACATTTATTTTTCAAGATTTTTCATCTCAATCATAACGGTCAGCAAGTCTACAAAAATGTATATTAAAGCTAAAATTGTAGCAACCTGTACCTGGGAGAGTGGTTGAAAGCACGTTGTTTTGGATTTAATTTTAAAATATTTGCTAGCAGCTTTCGAATCCATAACTGGGGCCAGCAATTTTGCAATGTCGTGCATGCCGAAGACTGCCAACTTTGTTGCCTTCTGTCATGGAAATTATTCTTTTGTCGTTGGAGAAAGAAATAAATCTTCCTATTTCAAGCCCACCGCGATATCCATAGTGAGACATTCCAACCACCAGAACTTGCTGAATGGTAACTTTCACCATGATTGATGAGCGCCTAGTCTGATAAGAAAGCGATGTTGACTTGACCTCCATGATGAAACACTAGTAGTGATGTCATTCTTAGCCAATTGGTAAAGCGGATGCTTAAAAGTCGAAGATCATGCGAGTCGTTTGTCGCGACCCCATTTTTCTTGTCTCTTTATTCAGATTAGACGTGAATTGTAAGTGCCCAGCTGACAGACAGCGAAATCCGTGGATTAAATGTGCCAAGTCCAAAGACAAACTTCAAGACGGAGCTGTAGGGATTTTGTTTGATCACGACAGTGACGCAGACTTGGACTTTGAGGGTTTTGACGTTTACAAAGATAGCAATGAACGTACAAATAGAGATCTGAGATGTTTTTGTCAAACAACTATGAACTTTCGTAATTTTACTGCGTAAATTATTATTGATCTTGTATGGCTGTTGATCCGGTATTTGTCAAAACCGGAAATAATTTTACGCTGTTTAACCCCTGACATTTTAATTCATTTTGAGTTCACGCGTATTGGGTGCGTTTGTCGGCAGGGAAATCTTAATTTAAATGAGTATTCACTGTTAATTTTTATTATTTCTGGTTTATTTGTCACATTATAAGCAATAAATGTTTTCTTGTTACACTTCTAATGCTGTATATTGTTCATTTATTTCTGTTGCATGTCTTCATTTGACAATCTATTCCCTGCCGCAGTTGGATCTGCGTGTTGTCAATTTTCGCGGATTTTTGTTTCGTTTTTTTATTGTTTTTTGCCGGGGGGATGTCCGGGCAAACGCCTACCCCTATTTTCCAGCAATTTTCCATGTTCAGGACCCTGGGCGCTTATTCGGATAAATACGGTAATTAGTACCGTTGAGAGCAGTATACCAGTAATGAGAAAAAGAATAAAAGAAAAATGCTTTAGATGCACAGACTGAACATCAAGTCTAAAAATTGCAATGAGAGCAAGTTTAGCTTTTATAACAGCATCTTCATAGTAGTATAGTTTCTAACATTGAAGAAACCGTTTGCTGAATGTAGACTATGTAATTTACATGTACAATAAGTTGTCCTTGTTTTCATATTAAATCTGCTTGACCTTTTGAAAGTGTAATACATGTTGTACATTTTAAATGCTAAAGATACGCATGTTTGTTTGTTTTTTGTTTAGGTGGCTATCATCCTGTGAAGATAGGAGACCTGTTCCATAACAGATACCATGTAGTGCGTAAACTTGGATGGGGACATTTTTCTACTGTCTGGTTGTCATGGGATTTAATGTGAGTAACTTCTACCACACAATCTTTGCATATGTATGTATTTTAATTGTTGGGCATTTTGTTTTGCCTAACATTAAATGTTTATCACGTATTTATACTACTTCTACATGTAGTTACTTCTCTGTATTTTGTCCAAATACCCACGTCACTTGTAGTCATTGCACTTTTCACTTTAAAATGGGAAGAGAAACTAGGGTGGTGTATGACATAGGTCCCAGGTTTCTGATACTGCAGATTTTGCACTGTCTGCCAGTGTTGTCAGCAAGACTGGCTGCACTTTTCAGATCTGTGAAGTGTCTCCTAGGTTTTCTGTCTAGGTCACATGTTAAGCACCTTTCTCTTCATTCACCTACTCTCAACTAAGCTCTTTGAGGTGTGTTGCTAGTCATCAAGTGATCTTAAACACTGAGAAAGTTGAATCTAGCTTCATTACCATACTTAAACGACTACTTTGTTAGTCCCCGTTCGGACAAAGTCCGAAAACGGGGACTTATGTTTTGTCCTCCGTGTGTCCGTGCGTCTGTGCGTGCGTCCGTCCGTCCGGACCTGTGTCTTAGAAATACCTGGACCAATCACAATCAAACTTCACACATACATCATACATGATATCATACATATGCACGTCAATTTGTTTCACGATCTGATTCAAGATGGCGGAATGGCGGCCATTTTGGGGCTAAAAATCATCAAAATCAAGCATTTCCCTTTTTGTTTACAGATGGATTTTGTTCAAACCTTGTATATACGTTGGAAATTATAGGACTTTGATAAACATCATTTTGTTTTACGATCTGATTCAAGATGGCAGCCATTTTTGTGCTAAAAAATCATAAAAATCAAGCATTTCTCGGCTGTTTACAGATGGATTTTGTTTAAACTGATATATACATTAGACATTATGGGACCTTGATGCAAATAATTTTGTTTTTCAGATAACATTCAAAATGGCTGGCTATCGGCCATTATGTTTTAATGAATGGGCTTCTAGACCCATATTTCC